TTCCCCCCCCCCCCTTCTTTCCCTTTTTTACCCTTTTTTCCCCCGCCCTTATTCCCGTCCTTGACCAATCCCGTCATGTTCCTACCCAACACCTCAGAAAGGGCCTCTTGGAAAGAGATGGCGTCCTCTCCTTCCTCCACTGTGGTGGAAAATTTTTGTTTTTCGGCATGTGCCCTTACAAGTATGTGCATTTCGTCGTTCAATCCACTCTTTTGCTGTTGTGAGGCCCTGGCACGGGCGGCCTCGCCACCATGCACAGGGTGCTTCCTGACTGGAAAACGAGAGGAGAGGGACGATCGGGAGGAGAACATGGTGAGCCAGGTGAAAGGAGACCATATGTGAAATGCTTACTGAAGATGAGACTGAGGGGTGAAGCTGTGCCATGCTTGCGGTCTTCTTGAAAATAAAAAGGAAAAAAGAAAGACACGGAGCGCGTGAGACGGAAGAAGCCTCACCTTTTTTTATTGTCAAATACAACGAGCCCTTGGTCCTTGTGATGTGAAAAAGGCTATCAAGAGCGGAAAGAAAGCTAGAAGGATCTAGAAGTACCATCCTGTGGGGTGTGCACATTTTTTGTAAGTAAATGGAGGGTCTCCACAAGTTTACACAAAATCTGTGAGGCATGACAGTGTCTGTCTGTTAAGCTCCCTTACAGGTACTGTGAAATATAATCACCATCAATCCGAGCACCGCACCTACGCGTGTGACGCTAGGATAGATTGGAAGTTTACATTGTGGGTTAAAGAGGTGGCAAAATATTCATAAAGCGTGTGGCTGGTTGACTGCCTATGCCTGACCGCCCACTCTTCCATGGAGCAAAAAGGGCGGCGTCCAAAACGTGACCGCTTTTTCCTTAGCGAAAATTGTGTCCAAGTTCAACAAATGTGCTCAATTTAGGAAAGAGGGCACAACCTGTCCATATTTTATCCCAACGTTTATGAAGAAAGGTCTCAAGCGTTGTCAGTAATAGCCTTATCTCCGCGAAGCAGACCTCCGGGTGACTTTCTGTCTATGCCTTGAAGGAGACCAACCAACGCGTCCATTCCATAGGGATGAACAGTCTTAAACCTATGGATACTTCTCTGTTTCTTTTGATGCTCTATGGTAAATAGATTACTTTTTTCCATTTTATGCCACTGTTTTGTTCACAAAAGCATATAGATATGTTTGCCGATTCGCGCCTCTGCTTTCCCTGAAGCTACGGCTCTTGCAGAAGTGCTGCTTATGGAAGAGAATCTTTTACAATACTTTTCCCACCTGCTTAACACCAATTTGCATCAGTTCTCTCGGACTCCATCGAATCAAGCCCCTCGGACACATAGTCGTGCTCCTCAAAGACACTTCCTTCCTCCTCCTGGACTTGGGATATTTCCCCACCCCTTTGAGAGGAGAAAGCCGTTACAATTCCTGGCGCTTGCCTCCCACCCACTCCTCCATCACTGTCGCCCATGCGTACTTCCACCTCTCTCCTCCTTCCTCCCACAGCATCCAGACCAACTCCACAGTAACGATCACAAGCACGAGCAAGAGCGCCATCACGAGGGCGCCTTTCAAGCACAGCCCTCCCAAAGACTTTTTTCCTTTTTCCCGAACATTCCCCGCACCACGAAAGGGAGATGAAAACAGGGCCCCGAGCTTAGAGACGGGAGGACGGGAGGGTGGAAGGGAGGGAGGGGCGGGAAGGGAGAAAGCCCCGTCGACTTCGGCGATCAGCTCCGGGATGTCCTTGTCCAGAATGACATCCACGCGGGTCAGATCGGCAGGGGAAGGGCAAGGAAGGTCGTTCA